GATGAGCATTTCAGGCTGTGAACTGCTGATGTTTAAATACATTACCCTAATACTCTTTAAGCATTGCCAATTGTAAACCTCATTAACTCCCAGCATGTGGCCAAGGCCTGGATTTCTTCACTACAGCCTCACAAAGTGAAAACAGGTATATAAAAATGACTTTATCATCAACATTATTATATCCTCCTTCACCTTGTGAAGCATTTAAAAGGCTGTACTTTCATTCCTCAGAAGGATAAAAAGCGAACTTAGGAAAAGCAGTGAACACACTTGGTTTATACAGGCTATACATTCTGAACTCCTCAATTCTTTTTTTATCTTTTCTTTTTTGACACTTTTATTCCTCAGGCATCAAAATCCAAACTGTCCCAGGAGTGACTCTCCACACTCTAAACAGAAAGAATTTATTTGAGGATGCTGATCATACTGCTCTCATTTTGATTCACAAAATGGGGGATGACAAGGCAGTACGTTGAACCGTTGATGTGGGAGGATAAAGGAAGGTTCTAGGAAAGAAAATTGATCAAATTATGTTATGTCATGTACAAATATAACATAATGAACCCCAGTCTTGAATGTCTGACATTCCCCTTTGCCAAAGGGCCAACTTTGGCTTGCACATTGTGTGTTCTAGAAGGGTGTCAAGAGGTTCCACACCTGAGGTGAAAAGCAAACACAGTCAGACTTCTGCATCCCTGGGTCCCAAAACCTATGGATTTAACCAACCCCAGATAGAAAAATATTCAGGAAAAAAAGTTGCTTCTGCACTGCCCATGTGGACTCTGGTTTCCCTGTCAATTCTCCCGGAACAATACAGTATAACGACTATTTACGTGTATCAGGTATTATTAAGTAATCTAAAGATGACTTAAAGTTCAGTGGAAGATGTGCACAGGTTATATGCAAACACTAGAGCATTTTTATAAGTGACCTGAGCATGTGCAAATTTTGGAATAGCAGAATCCTGTGAGGGTCCTGAACCAATCCCTCAAGGATACTGGGCAATGACTGTATGTGATAAAGAGATTTGTGATCCTAGCAAGCCAATTAGATACTCCATTCAATGCTGGCCCCACCACACACACAGACAGGGGTCCCTGTACCATGCAGCCAGGCACTCAACAGATCCAGCTAATCCTCAACGCCACTTAGTCTTCCTAGGTGAGAAGGTCTGGCATTAGTGAAAACAGTTTTTTAGCCTTAGAGCCCTGTGATGAGACAACAGTTAATAATAAAAACAGAAGCATGTTTGCAAATCTCAAAGAGACCCAAATGAATTTTATTTTCACCTTGCTCTTAATAAATTGTGTGAACATTGTATAAAAGACACACTTCAGTGATATTCAATGCTTCAGCCCCATTTTAAATGAAAACCAAAATCACAACTGAATCTAAAAGACACATCAAAAGTCATACAAACAAATCCAACAGCAAACAGTCCACGCGTCCATGGTGTGATATTATCGGAGTATGTGGGCCCTGAAAAGCCCTGGAAGACACACCTCCTCCTCCCTCAGATGCTGAGACAAGCCCTTCTCACTCAGGAGGCCCACCAAGCAAAAGACCCTCACCCCGGGTGTTCTTACCTCCCTCAAGGAACTTTATAAACTGATTAAGCCAATCATTAAGTCAATTAGAACAGTGGAACACAGGGAAATCTAAAACACAACAATGAATATTAACAAGGATTACGCTGTCACACAGGCAAAACAGACCAATGCCCTGGTTCAATGGCTCTCCATTGCTCTCTAAGGTAAACACTCCAGCTATCTTACCCCACAGTATTTATCCAAAAGAACCACAATTAGAACTATGATACATGTATACCAATGTTTATAGAATGCGATTCACAATAGTTAACGGAATCAGACTAGATGTCCATCAATAGATGAATGGATAAGAAAATGTGTATATATACACAATGGAGTTTTACTTGGTCATAAAGAATAAAATTGTCATTTGCTGATAAATGGATGGAACATCATACTAAGTAAAATAAGCAGACTCGGAAAGACAAGGGTCAAATGTTTTCTCTTATATATGGAAGCTAGAGGAGAGGGAGGTGAGGGAGAGAAATAGAAATAAAATTTTTTTAAAAGTCGGGGGTGGGGGCTGGCTCATAAAAGCAGGAAGGGGATCTAGAGGAAGGGAAAAGGGGAGGGCAAGGGAAGTACTTGAGAATAAAATCTATCCAAATTATGCGATGTCCATGTATTAATATGCCACAATGAATCCCACTTGTACTAATTAAAATAATAATTGATAACAACAGTAGAAGATCAGCAGACACACTGTCAGAATAAGGATGCAGGAGGGTAAAGGAAGGTTCTAGGAAAGAAGATTGATCAAACTATGTTATGTCATGTACAAATATAACATAATGAACCCCAGTCTAGTACATAACTATAATGTATCAATTAAGGAAAAAAAGATAAACACCCCTATCCTTAACATGAAGTATAAATCCCTACATGACCCACCTCGCCTACCTCCAGGCCCATGCAATCCCAAGTTCCAGGCATGCTAGCCTCTGCATTTCAGAATGCATGGCCTTTGCAGCCACTGTTCCTCTGCCTTCAATGTTTTGTCTTCATTGCCCCCACCCCTCACTTCTGTGTCATTCACAAGAAGTCTTCGCTGACCTCTTAGTCCCAATGAAGCCCCTATTGACTGTCTCTCATACCATGTCTCTCTTCGGATGATCATTCTGCTTCTTCCTCTTCCCTATGTCTAGGTCACATCTCCCTCTTCCTCTATCTTATGAAGACACTTGTGATAGAATTTAGGACTCACCCCAGAAAAGCCAGGGTAATCTCTTCATCTCAACAGTCCAATATTATTAACTTAGAGTTCTCGGATTAACACCTGTTTCATTAAATTAGAAGCTTCCAGAGGACAAACACTGCATTTTCCCAGTTGCTGTGTTTCCTGAACACACATTATAGTGTCAGGCACAGAGACAAGACTCTCAAGCTGCTGAATGACTGCTGGATAAGCACCCAGGGAGAAGCGCCCATCAGGGAAGGCAGACCAAGTCACCACTTCATGAACCAGTAAATCAGAACTAAGAGAGCTCCAGCAAACAGGATCCCTTAGCCAATGAGCTGGAAATGAAACCTTAAGTTCATGCAGTGCACAGGCACCTAACTTCCTGCCCAGAGTTCAGGCCAAAACTAGACATAGGTGAAGTTTTCAAGAAGGGGCCAGGCTCTGAGGGAGGCAGTTCACAGCAGGGGTCTCTGCCTGGGAAATTTCTACATCAGCCAAAAACTACCACTGGAAAAAAAAATACCATTTTGGTTTTTGTTTTCTGGATCAAAATGGTCTTTGACCAAAGAAAATTCTACATAACCATAGGCTTGCTAGTTCCCCCCAAGGGGTGGAGGGAGGATCAGCTACATGAGTGTATTAGTTTTCTACAATTGCTATAACAATAACAAGGAAATAAAACCATTATATTGAAGAGATGTCTGCACTCCTACATTCACTGAAGCATTATTCATATTATCCAAGACACAGAAACAACCCAAATGTCCATCAACAGATGAGTGCTTAAAAGAAAATGTGGTGTCTATACATAATATTATTCAGCCTTAAGAAAGAAAATTCTGTCATTTGTGACAATATGGATGAACCTGGAGGACATTATGTTAAATGAAATAAACCAGGCACAGAAAGACAAATACCATATGCTCTCACTTGTACGTGGAATCTAAAAAGTTTAAAATCATAGAAGCAGAGAGCAGAATGGAGGTTACAAGGGGCTGGCACGGGGGTGTGATACTAAGGCGATGCTGGCCAAAGGACACAAAAGTTTACATAGGAAGAACAAGCTCAAGAAACTCTTTGTGCAACATGGTAACTATAGTTAATAACAATATATTGTACACTTCAAAAATTACCAAGAGAACTTTTAAATGTTCTCAACACACACACAAAAAATGAGTTTGTTAGTTAATAGATACGTTACTTAGCATAACTTGGCCATTCCACAATGCATACAATTTCAAAACATCCTGGTGTGTACCATAAATATATATAATCTTTATTTGTCAATTAAATTTAAGTAAAGCAAATTACCATTGGCCAGGTATCTTAAAACAGAAGAATTTATTCTAACAGTTCTGGGAACCTGAAGTCCTAAATCAAGGTGTCAGCAATACCAGACTCCTCCCACAGGCTCTAGGGGAAAATCCTTTGGTTCTCCAGCTACTCATGGTTCCAAGCATTCCTTAGCTCATGGTTCCATCACTCTGGTCCCTGCCTTTGTGTTCACACTCCTCCTCCTTTTCCCTGTGTCTGTGTCAAATCACCCTTCTGCTTCTGTCTTATAAAGACACTTGTGAGGGAATATAGGGCCCACCCAGATAACTCAGGGTAATCTTTTCATCCCAAAATTCTTAATTTTATTACATCTGGAAAGATCTTCTTCCACATAAGGTATTTACAGGATCCAGGGATTAGGCAGAGAAAATTCATAGGGGGAAAAATCCAAAGTCATTCTGCAAAGTGTCCTACTTAATTCTGTATGGTATAATCTCTCTCCTCCACCTTGCAGAATGCCTTTCCTGGTGATTTGTAATCATCATATATCTGTCTCCTAGATCCATATCATTTAATCATATATGAAATTTTAAAGGTGATTTGAGCAAGGGAAAGATGATAGAAAAGTTATGATCACAGTGGTATGTTTAAGTTTACTCATAATTCTACACCTGCCTTGAGAAATACCGGTGTACGCACAAATACCTTCATACTACTTCATCAATTACAATTGTTTTGTAAAATTGTACAGAGGTCTTGTTCAACTAGTCAAAAACCAAATTCATGAAATCACTAATTGTGAAATGACCACTAAAGGAAATATTAAGAGTAACATTTATAAAAGAATGTGTCAATGATAACAGAGAAAACGCTCTTAAGAGGTAGAAAAGTATATATTTAATAACTTTCTGATCATTAAAGTAACAAAAATGAGTTTTGAACAAAAATAAACATACCCATCTTTGGTCTGATCCACCACGCCACTTAAAAGTTCCACAGTCTTTGGATTAGGCTGGCTTTCTCCAAAAATATTCAAATATCGAGTAACAAAGTCATTAGGAGACATAAAAAATTCACCATTTTTTTCAATGCTTGCATACTGTTAAGAAAAGAAGAAAAAAAGAAATATTATTTTATATACTTGATTCTCTAAAGTATATAATCATGGGATCAACATGTGAAAAGCCTGAGAATATTCAAAGGATATATCAGATATGAAAATATACTCTACAATCGCAGTTATCTCCCGTCACTTCAAAGAAAAAACAAAACACATTAAATTTGTCAAATTTTGTGCTTACACCAGTGGTTCTCAACTTTAGGTAATTTTCCCCCACAAGGGACAATTTTAATTGTCATAACTTGGAGGAAAGGGATGCTACTAGCACCTACAGGGTAGAGACCGGGATGGTGATAAATATCCTACAATAACTCACAGGCTGAGACCATGAAAACAGAACTGTCTAGTCCAAAACGCGAACAGTGCTGAGAAACCCTGGTTTACAGAAATTTAGAAAAACAAATTATATCTTGGTTTTTTTTGGCAAAAAAACTAAAAAGTGTAATTAATTATAAAACTAATTGAGGGACAGTGGGATGAGATGGTTCCAGTGCCCTGGGTTCTCACATAAGAAACATAAACCCAAATTAATGTAAACAGTGAAGCAAAACTTAAGCTTAACCAAAGTGTAATGCCTCTCACAAGAGGTTTTTCCACTTTAACCAATCAAATGTTTTCTTTGTCTTGCTTCCTGAACACTTTATAAAAGTTCATGCCCCCTTGATGGAGCCCTGAACTGCCTGTGGTCTGATGTGCTGCCCAATTCATGAAATCTTTAGTGCTCAAGGAATGCCTGAAAGATAGGATTCTCTCTCAACGGAAGTCCCAGAGGTAGCAAATACAAGAAAGGGTGATAAACTCAGCTGAAATGCAAACTCTGAGCCACGGTGCGGGTATCAACTGCTGCCCAAGCTAATGTTCTCTCCACCCTTGAGCCCTACACAGAGATGGTCAGTAAGAATCAGCTGGCATGCAATGCTTGTCCTCCAGGTAGGACACATTCCAGCTGGAAGGGGGAACCCACTGACTCGGGTTCCACGGGTCCTCAAAGGCTGTGGGAAAATGCTGAGAGCAGTGTGCCAATCAAGATGTCCTCATGGAGCACAAGACCCCTGAGCCAAGAGATTAACTTTGAGGGAGGAGAGGACAGTACAGCTAGGAGAGCAGAGCTAGCTAGGTGATGGGAACCACAGTGACAAAGTGCATGGTGAGTGAGGTGCGAGGACAGCATCTCCCCTTCCTTTGGAACCCCCGAGTTCAGTCTGATCAAAACTGTTTTTACAAATCATTTGTTTTTCTACATTTTAAATCCACTTTAGACTAAACCTTTGCTTAGATATTTGGGAATAAGCTTTAGAACCTCTTGAGCTAGGGTTGTGTCTCTTACTACCTGAATGGTCTCATCGAACATCTAAGTTTTCTGGGCCTCTGACTCTATCTGAAAAGTAGGCATAACAATATTACTGGTTTCATTAGGCAGATGCTTTAAACAAATAAGATAATCATTTAAAACATTTAGTACTATGTTCTACACATGATAGGCACTTTATAAAAGTTCTAGATTATTGTTTTTTTTTTCTTTGTCCCACTGAATGATATCTGCCACTGGTACAGTACCAGGGCAAGGATGCAATCAGGGGGTTTTCTCTTAGCACCAGCTACCAAATCCTGGCCCCACAGATCAGGAGAGGACCTGTGAATGTGCTAGAATATACTGTTTTCTTTTTTTTTTTTTTCTTTTTTGAGTGGGGATAGGCACTGAAGATTTAACCCAGGGTCACTTTACTACTGATATACATCTCTAACCCTTTTTTTTTTTTTTTTAGCACCAGCTACCAAATCCTGGCCCCACAGATCAGGAGAGGACCTGTGAATGTGCTAGAATATACTGTTTTTTGTTTTTTGTTTTTTGTTTTTTTTTTGAGACAGAATCTCACTAAGATGCTGAGGCTGACCTTACAATCCTTCTGTCTCAGCCTCCCAAACTGCTGGGATTACAGTGTGCTTGGATCACTGTTTTCAATTAACATGTTTTTAGCATAGTGCAAGAAAAAAGATGGTCCAGTAATCCTACCATTCTTCAGTTAGAATTTGTTTCAGCTTCTGGGACATGTAGAAGAAAGAATATATTTTAATTTTTCTAACTGAGGCAAAACAAGCTTGAAATATAAAGGATATGCCAATACTAATTACAGCAATCCTATGATTCAGAGTTGTGACTATGTTTCCTTATGACAGTGATTATTTTAAAACACAATTTTACTTTTCTCCTACCAGTAGACAGATTATTTCCAGTTTAGGGTATTTTAAATAAACCTAAGATAGCCATTTTTATGTGTAACATTTGTCCAAATTCCTGGCAATTTTCAAAAGCTAGACTCCCAGAAGAAGAAATTGTTAAAGTCAAAGGAGAGGAACTTTAAGGCTCTTGGTACTTATTATCACGCTGCTCTTCAGAAAAGATTGTACCAATTTACACTCCTACCAGCAGTGTGTGAATATGCCCTTTCCCTGCTTTGTCTATCATATTTGTTGCAAATATTTTTCCAGTTTGATATATTTATAATTGAGCCTGTAGATTTATTTTCCTTTACAATTTCTTCCATTACTTTTCTAAGCTTAAAACCTAATCTTTCTTCATCACCAGACTAAATATTCACACACAGGTCCTCTTAGTTTTTTTTTAAAGTAGGGTTTCCTTTAGGTTTTAGTATACCAGTGCTTTATTTTTGTGTGTGGTCTGAAGGTAAGAATCCTCCAAATTTGTTTTTCCCACTTAATCCTGGTTGTTTCAGAACCATACATGAAATCATTGTTCCTTCCCTACTCTTTAGGACACCTGCTTTGCACATACTAAATTACCATATGGTCACTAGGGAAAGCCCTGACAAGCAGGCTGGATCTCCAGCAACAGGTCTAATGAGCTGGCCATGGCTTCCCAGGGAAAACATTGTTCTGAGACTGCCCCGAACTTCACAGGAGAATGTCAGCACAGCAAGCATTGAGAGTTCTTGTCATTGCTGCAATGGGAAATGTTTCAGGATCATCCTCTCAATGAATCTGGCTACTCTTGCAAGATTATGTACATCTTACTTGCTACAACTAGAGGGAAAGCTCTGTCAGAACAGGAATTGTTTTCCTGTCTTTTTCACTGGTATGTCCTCAAATTCCCAGACTAGTGCCTGGCTGCCAGGCAGATGATGAAACATGGTCAATAGGTATTTATCAAATGAGTGAAAGCTTAAAAAAAAGTTGTCTTACTTTGCTCCTAGAAGTTTCATGGCTTGACAAACATTCTTTGATTTTCCCCAAATGACCTTTAGAATCAATGTCAAGTTGTTCCTCCTTTAGAAAAAATTCCATAGAAAATGCACAAAAAACTACAATAAAATGCCACTACTCAACCACAAAATAATAATAACAAACGTTGGCAAAAAATGTAGAGCAAGTACTCTCACATAAGGGTGTTATAATAAACTGAAAAACCATTTTAGAAAACTCGTAGGCAGTATCTTCTATAACTGAACATAATAACCACAGACTCCGCAATTTCAATTGTAAGTAAATCTCCAATAGAAATTTGCATGTATGTATATAACACCAAAAAATATGTCAAAGAGTCCATAGCAACATTATTTGTAATAACAAAAAGTGCCAAAAATAACTTGTGTTAACTAGGAACAGGATACATAAACAGATTATGGTATAGTAACACAACAGAATACAACACAAGCAATGAGAATACACTAACTCCAAATAGACACAACACAGATAAAACTTAAAATAAAGGTGAGAAACCAGACAGGGCTGGGAGTGTAGCTCAGTGGTAAAGCATTTGCCTAACATGAATGAGGCCCTGAGTTTGATACTCAGCAACACACACACACACCTACACACAAAGAAGACAAAAGAATATACACTGTATGGTTACATTTTTTATAGTGACAAAACTAATATACAGTGAGAGAAGTCAGACAAAAATTACCTTGAGAGAGGTGAGTACTGATTGCAGGGGTATCAGAAAGTTTTTTGGGGGTTTTTGGGGGGGTTTTTTGGTGTATGGGAGGGTGCTGGTCATGCATGTTTGCTCACTTTATGAACACCCATGGGGCTGTACACTTATGATCCCTGCACTTGATTTATACCTTAATAGTTTATAGTAATAAATCATTAAGATATTTTATCAGCCTCATTTGTTTAGAGATGATAAAGAAGGCATCTCTGAAATATAAGAACATGTTCATCTGGACAGAGAGAACACAGATTTCTTCAGTTTGCCAAAATCAGCTCATTGCCAAGTGGTCTGTTTTGTGATTCAAATAGATAAGTCAAAGGTTGTTCCTCAGACTGATGTTTGAGGCAGACCAAAGTAAGAGTAGGTACTAGACTACTACCAAAGGCACCTCGGCTGTCCCTGCAGCAATGAACAGAAGGTGCCTGTCAAGAGAATGCACTGATTCTTACAGCTACTCCATCTTTAGAATATCATTTAATCTTTCTTTGGAATAGATTTTAAGTGGCCTGAAGTCTTTCTTTATTACAATTTAGGAGAGTTTTAATATGATTAAGCATATGCTCACAAAATGGGAAGGTTTTTACGATTCCTTGCACAATCATAAGTGTCACCAACAAGAAACACCACCACACCCAATGAAGACAGCAGCAAAGAGAATCAGAACAGGACACTATCATTACAGTGTATGCTCTGAGGACAGGGGTCCTCATCCAACCTGCTCACAGCCTCTTAATAAAGGTGTGTGAACCATAATGAGCCCGTTCAGAAACACCATCATTCAGTGACCTGTCCCTGCCATGAGCCGTTCATATCCTGGGGCTGAAAGGCAAATTCTCCTTGACTCTTTTCCAACCATTGAAAGTCCCTCTAACACACCAGGTCACTTCATCTGACCATCCTTCACCTAAGCTCCCTGTTATAAGGATGGAATGAAATACAATTAAGAATATGAATATGGATCATTTCTTGCCTTTTGGACATGCTCAGGTGAAGAACATGAATACGGTCTGAGCATTTTATGTTA